AGTGCTGCCTCTTAAATTTGGCTGCTGTACGAGCGGACAGGAAGCGAGGACTACTCGTAAGAAGCACAGTTGAGTTCCAAGCTAGCAATCTCTCGGGATGCCGTTAGAAGATGATTAAACGGTGGCTTGGATCAGAGATTGGCCTCCCCCCAACCATTTGAGGAACGTCACTTTGTCGTAGTCTCGTTAAGAGTTGCCGCAACAGGGTTAACCTTACGGGAATTGACCTTTCCCTCACACGGAGAAGGTAAAATGATAAATGACAGAGTCAATTTAGAAAGGAAAAAAATATTGCTTTAGTTCTCTGCTGCAACTGGCAAAGCACAGTTCATCCTTAGCTTAGATTACAGGATGTCCTCTTTGGGTCTAGGACAATGGTCCAATAGAGATGCTGGCTGGTTGCTTGGTTACTTTGCTCCTCCTCTCCCAGCCACCTGTTGAAATGTCCTTGGTTCCCACGGGAAAACTTTTTTGTTTTGACTACAAAACCCCAGCTAACTATTTTTCTCCCTCCCTGTCCTCAGTCAGGCTTGCTTCACGGTTTGTGTGTGTTTGTGTGTGTGTGTGTGTGTGTGTGTGTGTGTAATTCAGAAAATCAAAATACAAACTTCAAAAAAAAACCACAAAGATCAAACTAAGTAAGGCATTTAAACTTTTTTTTTTAATTGACTTTTGCAGAAGGGGAAACTTATTGATGCAATACCCCTCTCTGTATTCAACTGGGGAGGACACAATATATGCATATGTGTTCTTGCCTTTCGTTTTTGTTGTTGTTTTCTGTTAAGGCATTTTTAATGCCTTGTTTTGTTTTGTCCAGTTGCACAAATTTTGACATGGGGCAGCCCTTGAAGAGCATTCGGCGACTTCAGCTTGTCCAGAATGCAGTCGCGCGAGCGATCGTGGGTACACCTCGGTTCACCCACGTAACACCTATCCTCCGCGAGCTGCACTGGCTACCTATTGGTCTCCGGATACGCTTCAAGGCGCTAGTCGTCACTTATAAAGCCCTTCATGGTATTGGACCTGGGTACTTGAGAGACCGCCTGCTGCCAATTACCTCCACCAGACCGATTAGATCCCACAGATTAGGCCTCCTCCGAATTCCATCCGCTGGCCAGTGTCGACTGGCAACTACCCGGAGGAGGGCCTTCTCTGTAGCTGCTCCGACCCTCTGGAACGAACTCCCTGTGGGGATTCGCACCCTCACCACCCTCCAGGCCTTCCGCAAAGCCCTTAAAACCTGGCTGTTCCGACAGGCCTGGGGCTAAACAACCGTTGCCCCTATCTCGAATGGTATGATTGTTGCGCTTTTAAATTATGTATTGTTTTGTGTTGGTGTCAAACTGTCTGTATCCCCTTTCCCTTGCTCAACTTGTGAGCCGCCCTGAGTCCCCCTCGGGGAAAAGGGCGGCATACAAATGAAATAAATGAAATGAAATGAAATGAAATGATCGTGTGATCACGGAGGATGCTGCAGGAGGATGTCGTGAATGTGAGCATTGGTTGTTAAGCCCCCATTTAAAGCACCATTGTAACCTCGGCATTAAAGCGAGGGTTACCTGTACACATTAGTGTAACACACAATTGAGATCGTTGGAGAACAATCATGGGCCTGTCCAATGCCAAGACACACTGGAAAAATTGGTGTACAGCGGTGGTGGGTTCCAGGTCCCGGTGCAACCAGTATGGTGCAACGAGGGCCAGCGTTGCACACGGGCGCATGCGTCCTTACCTCCTGCGACGCCTCCGCGACGCTCCAGCTGCTCGGCGGAGCATCTCATAGGCGCCATGCACGGAAGCGCCAAAGAGCTCAAATACAGGTAAGGAGCTCGGGCGGGCAGGTGGGCCCTCTGGAGCGCCATACCGGAAGGGAACCCGGTGCTCCCAGCAGACACCGGTATGCCCGTCCTGGGGCGTACCGCCTGCAACCCACCACTGGTGTCCAGGCTCCATGTAATTCCTTAGTGGAAGGAAAATGTCTTTTGGAGAACATCCCCAAGGTGTTTTTTTCTCAAGAGGCAACTGGACTTTCTGTTTTTTCTTTGAAGATGTTTTGCTTCTCCTCCAAGAAGCTTCTTCAACTCTGAGTGGATAGTGGAGAATGGAAGGATTGATTCTCCTTGCAGACAGCTGGTCATTTGCATCCTTTTAGAGGGTCGTTGAGGCCACTTGGAGGTTTATCTTTGTCCTCTGGGGTCAGCTGAGTAGTGCAAAAGGAGTGTGGATCCATCGTTTTCTTGCCTCCTCTCCCTCTCTCTTCCTCCCTACCTCCTCCTCTCTATCATCCTTCTGTTCTCTAATTCCCCTTCCTCTCTTCTCTTTCCGCTCCTTTCTCTCCTCTTTCCCCTCTACCCTCTCTCCTAACTCCTGTCTTCTTCCTCTCATCTCCCTCCCTCCCTTCTTTTCCTTTCTCTCCTCCCTCCCTCCTTTTTCCTTCTCTCCTTCTCACTTCCCACCTTCTTTTCCCTTCTTCCTTCCTCCCTCGCTCCTATCCATCATTTTCTTGCCTCCTCTCCCTCTCCCCTCCTACCTCCTTTCTTCTCTCTATCATCCTTCTGTTCTTCCCCTTCCTCTCTCCTCTCTCCTCTTTCCACTCCTTCTTTCCTCCTCTTCCCACCCCTCTCTACCCTCTCTCCTAACCCCTCTCTTCCTCCTCTTGTCTCCCTTCTCTCTTGCCACAATTGTTACGGGAATCGCTGCAGCTCGTAAATTAGCCACACAGTCGTTAGTGAATCTGGCTTCCCCATGCACTTTGCTAGTCCAAAGGTCACAAAACAGGAACATGTGATCACGGGACACCACAACCGTCATAAATATGAGTCTCTTGCCCAAAGTCTGAATTCTGATCGCGGGACCATGAAGATCTTAAGTGTAAAAAAAGGGTCATAATTCACATTTTTCAGTGCCATTGTAACTTTGGACGGTCACTAAACAGACCGTTATGTGTCGAGGACTGTTTGCAACTCCTTTCGAGGTTCTAAAGAACTTTCCATGCAGAGGACCAGTGGTGGGTTTCAAAAAATTTTAGAACCTATTCTGTAGGTGTGGTCTATTTTGTGGGAGTGGCTTGTGGTCATGTGACTGGGTGGGAGTGGCTTGGCTGTCGTGTGATCGGGTGGGCATGACCAACTTAGAAAATGTGGTGAAACTCACTGAACAACGCTCTTGCTTAGCAACCAAAATTTTGAGCTCAATTGTGGTCATAAGTTCCCCTCCTTCCTTCTCTGAGAAGAGCTCCGTTTTCAAGCTGCTTGTGAAGGAGGAGGAAGGGGGCAGAGGGAGGCTTTTCAGGAGTCCTAAGCAGCGCTGAAGCCAGGGGAGGGAGCATTCTGGTACTGGGCCTCCGGAAGAACGGGTACTAGGAAGCAATAGCAATAGCAGTTAGACTTATATACCGCTTCACAGGGCTTTCAGCCCTCTCTAAGCGGTTTACAGAGTCAGCATATCGCCCCCAACAACAATCCGGGTCCTCATTTCACCCACCTCGGAAGGATGGAAGNGGCTTATACTTGAGTATATACAGTATCTTTTTTTGCTCTGGTTTCTGCTTTCAAAGTACAGGTTGGAACTTAATGACCGCAGCTGAGCCTGGAATTTTGGCCGGGCAGAGTTCATTTAGTGACCGTTCAAGGTTGTGACGGCAAGGGGGAAAAGGGACTTACGACCGTTTCTCACAGTTACAACTCTCGCAGCATTCCCCAGGATCCTGTGCTCAAAATCCAGATGTTTGATGCAACTGGTTCAGACTTATAACGTGTCTCGAGGTCACGTGATCCCTTTTGTGACCTTCTGACGAGCAAAGTCAATGGGGAAGCGCGATTCACTTAACAACCGGGTTACTAAATATCTGCAATGATTTATTTAACTGTGGCAAGAAAAATCGTAAAATAGGGCAAAACTCATTTGACAAATTTCCACTTTACAACAGAATTTTGGGGCTCAATTGTCATCATAAGTCGAGGACCACCTATAAGTTGTTGTGGTCACTAAGCGTGACCTGATTAAATTTTAAGATTGGTTTACAAAAAGCATTAAGCCAGTTACCATGGTTATTGAGCACATCATGTCATTAAGCAAACCATGAGGTTGTTAAGTAAATACATTGCAAATGTCATAAATACAAGTCAGTTGGCCAAGCATCTGAATTTTGATCATGTGACCATTCACAGTTGTGTGAAAAATGGTCGTAAAACAGTTTTCACCTTGTACAACGGTCGCTAAATGAACTGTTGTAAGTCAAGGACTACTTTTATGCGATCTTCAAAGGAGAAAATAAAAACCTGCTTTCCCAAGAGAGTTCTACATTCTCCACAGGTAGTCCTCGCTTACCAGCGATCATCAGGACCAGGAACTCTATCCTTAAATGACATGGTCATAAGCCACAATGTTCATGTTCCAGTTGCCCTTGTTCAGCAAATCCTGCAGGATCTTGCAGTCCCACAATCCCATTTTTGACTTCCCACTGGCTTCCCCAATGACTTCACTAATCGGAACGTCGATGTCCCAATTGCCATTGTTCAGCAAATCCTGTAGAATCTTGTAGTCCCACGACCCCACTTTTGACTTCCCGCTAGCTTCCCCAATGATTTCACTTTATCGGAACGTCGATGTCCCAATTGCCATTGTTCAGCAAATCCTAGAGAATCTTGCAGTCCCACAATCCCATTTTTGACTTCTTGCTGGCTTCCCCAATGACTTCACTTATCGGAATGTTGATATCCTAATTGCCATTGTTCAGCAAATCCTGTAGAATCTTGTAGTCCCACGACCCCACTTTTGACTTCCCGCTAGCTTCCCCAATGATTTCACTTTATTGGAACGTCGACGTCCCAATTGCCATTGTTCAGCAAATCCTAGAGAATCTTGCAGTCCCACAATCCCATTTTTGACTTCCTGCTGGCTTCCCCAATGATTTCACTTTATTGGAACGTTGATGTCCTAATTGCCATTGTTCAGCAAATCCTAGAGAATCTTGCAGTCCCACAATCCCATTNAAATATATATATATATATTTCCTGCATGCAATCTTTCTTTCTCGCTTAAGAAGGGCTGAACCCCCTCCTCTCCCCTCCCCAGCCTTTGCCGCTGCTGGGTTTTCTCATCTCCTGGGCTGGGAGGGAGAGAGGAGGAGAGGGGCTTTTTCCTGGCCGTCGCCCCCCCTCCCGGTTCTGCTTCAGTGGATGGTGAAAGAATTGAAGACCCTCGGAAGGAGAGAGTGAAGAAGAGGTGGGGACGGTGAGCAGCTACGGAGACGAAACAGCCGCTGCAACCGTGCGTCTTTCGTGGACTATCTGGCAACCTGGTCTTATTTTTTTTATTTTTTTTAAAAAAAATATTTTTGCACAAACATGCTGCCCCACAGAGTAGAAGTGGGGCTGTGGCTGCTTTTACTAGGAATTTTGCACATGCTAATAGGGATCGCCCCTGTTTTTACCCTTGAAGGTGAGTTGAATCCTTTCCCCCCTTCTATAAGATGCATTTTACCTTATTCTGGTTAGTTTTACTTGTTGCGTTTGTCTTTTAAAAAAGTAAGCCTCCCTTGACCCCCCTCCCCTTTTAAAAAAAAATAATAATACAACAGTTTTGCCTAAAAAATCTGGGATGAGGAAGGGGACTGTCCTTCCAGGAATTCACATATATTTTCCATTTTGGAGAGAAGGTTGCATTAAAAAAAAACACATCTCCCCAAATACAAACCATCTCCAATGTATGAAAGAAGGTGTTGCATATTTTACATTCATTTGCCTGCATTTTTTGTTTCCTACCCCTGCCAAACCATTGGGGCTTATGCAGATTTCTTTCCAGGAACAAATGGTTGTGTGAATAGGTATGAAGATAGTTAGGAGTTAGGGTTGTTTTGTGGGAGGGGGACCAGTGGCAAAAAACACATGCTATAAAATTAGAATCTACTTAATGAGAGTAATCTTTTCTAAAATGAAATCTGTTCTCAAATGTTGAATGGAGAGACCACTGGAATTTCTCCTCCTCCTGTCCCTGCTGCTGGTGTGTAGCTTTAGAACACAATGAGAGTGAAATATTGCATTCCAGTGAATGTTTATTCAGAAGCAAGTCCCATTGAGTTCAACGGGGCTTTCTGCCAGGTAGTAGGGTAGAGGATTACAGCCTTAACACGTATTCAACATCCATCCTGTTATTTTTTTTTAAAAAAATAAAACATTGTACTTTATAGATTCACTGTACATTCTTATCTGTGCCAAGAAGATGCCCAAATTCAACTGTCTTTCTGGTTCCTTGTTCCTCATAATTAAATATTTACTTAGGATATTGCTGCTTCTGTTTTCAGCCAGACTCTCATTGAGATTTGGAGCCTGTTTAGCTGGCATTGCGTAGGCCTGAAGCTGGTACCTCAAGTAGATCACACCTCTTCACTGGCAAGGAAGCTGTAATATGGAGATTAAAGCTCCCCCACAAAATACATTTGGGGATAGAATAATGAAAAGGAGAGCCAAGGATTAATGTTTTGTTGATTGTCCTGTGCACTATAAGAGATGTCTGTGAAGCTGGTGACCCCAAAGGCCAGGATTATGCTGGAATCTGGGCTGAGATGTCCATCTGCAAAACCAATAACCTCTGTCCTCTTCCCCAAAATGGAAGGAGGGGCTTCATTGGCCCCTTGCTTATGCCATGGCATATATCAAGAGGTAATAAGGTAGCTGTTAGGTCATACATTGGCAACAATGGTACTTTTTGAAGGAGATGGAGAGATGAAATATAGTGATGGAGAGAATAATTATTTAGAGGGGAGAGGCAAGAATGAGGGTTTGAGGAAGTTCTTATTTCCTCTAACTGAGACATGGGAAATCTTAGCCTGAAGGATCAGAAAAGTAACTATGTCTGCTACTGAAATAGTTCTTGCAAAGTATCATCTCTACTGCAAAATGGTTGTAGAGAAGGGATACATCCCTTTGTATTGCGTATGCTTTTTTTGGTCACCAAAGGTAAAATGGTGTGAGCATTGCTGTCTCTGAGGGGTAGCCACATAGATCATAGTAGAGATTTTTCAGACTCACTGAAAATTCAGATTTTGAATATGGAGAGGTCTAATTTCCTGCATTTAAAACATGGCTTCCTGCCTTCCAAAATATGCAGGGTGTGCTTTACCCTCTTTACATGTAACAGTTTGAAGCTTCTTTATAGAAGAGGAATTTTGAAGAGAGGTAAGAGTTGTTTACCACTGGCTAGGCAGAAGGGAAGGTAAAACAGGTGGTATCTGATGGTATACTTTAGGATAACTTGCAATCAAGCCAAAAGTGAGTGACCTGTTATTACAGCATGAAATCTAAAACTCAACTGGTTTTTTTTTTAAAACTCTCCTGCTTCTCTGCCTTTTCTGAATTGAAGAGGTCATTTTTTCCTTTCCAACTTCTTTCTGGAATGTTTTGTGTGAGCTGCTGGGCTACTCTGCATTTTGCCAAATCTCCTTGGATGGCATTCATTCTTTAGGGCTTAATATTCAGACAGGGATCACTGAAGCAAGAACTTAGTCCTGGAAATATTCTTTTCATTTTCCCCACCCCATCCTGACTTCATGAAATATGCAATGTATTGAGTGATATTTTCCCCCCTTCAGCTTTGAATAAATAGCTGATGCATAGGGATTAGGCGAAAAGACTGTAAGAACAAAGACAGTGCGATTGATGCAATTTTAAAGGATTGGTTTCTTTGCAAGGTGTGGCATTCAGACTTATGGGAAAACTTCATGGGGCTTTCGGGGAGGGGGACTCCATCCTATAATAGAACTGCCATAGCTCCCTGTGAATATTTCTTGTTGTTTCTCTGGTCCCTATTTGTTTTGGACTGGTCTGTCTGAGAAAAACTCTTCTGGTTTGTGAAAAGCAGAAAGATTTTTATTGCAGGATCTAACTAGCTTGCCTTTTCACCAAGCTTGAAAAGCCATGTCCCATGTGCCCAGATCAGTGGCTCACCTGATCTAGTACTGGCTCCCCTTGAAAATAGAACCTGTCTTAATGCTAGACTGAGAACTTTCTCAGTTCTGATCTAAAAAATCTTTCATCAGGGGCTTGAACTGCATGTCTAAACATCTTTTCTATCACTGACATATTGGGTCTCCTGCCTTAATGTTACTATCTTTCAGATTAAGTGCATGATTGATGGGCTTGTGAAAATGAGAGGGCAGATAATATGGTACCCAAAACTTGCTGCTGCTCTTTCTTTCTCATCTTCTATTCTTCTACTTATTAAGCAACTTCCCCAGTCTGCTACATGGTAGACCTGGATCTTCTGTGTAACACAAGTCAGATTACCTTAAAAAAATGCATGTAGTAGGCTTTTCCAGTGGTCATTACCCTACTGTGAGATTTATTTTATCTTTAATTTTTTAAAAAAATCTTTATTTGCAAGTTGAGTTATTTGTAAAACTATTCGTGTTAAATCTTTGGTTTATGGTTTTTGATCTCTATTACCGCAAACTTGAAATGGGAGTTTACCAAGGAACTAATCCCAAATCTATTTAAATTACCCCAAATTGAGTAAAAATGGTTTTTCAAAAATCTTATTACCCAATCACAACAGAAACTTTTAAATTGACTCAAATTGTTTTACCTACATTGGGTAGAAAGGGCATTCCGATAAAAACAGTTCTGGGTAATAAAGGAAAAAGCATCAAACCAGTAGGAAAGAAGCCTTCTAAACACTCCAGTAAAATTGATGTGTTATTCTAATTCCAGGCCAAAGCTACTGCTGCTGCCCTAACATTTTATATAACATGTTAGGATAGGGGTGTGTTCGTGTATGTGTATATTATTATATGCATGAGCCAAGAAAAATTACTGAGTGCTACATGTAAGCACTTGCAAGTTTCTTTGGCCCTATCTCTAGTACTTCTTCTGAAAGAAAGCAGGACTGGTTTGTTGATTTGAGGACATCATACTGTAGGCTGGGTTACTGAACTGGAAATTTCACATTTAATGACTGTATTCGAAGTCATTAGAACATGACTGATATTCGCAATAGATCACTAGTAGCCTGGTGTTTCACTGAGGCACCGAAACTACTTTGTAATACAAAGGATTGTGTATGTGTGAGCACATCAATGGTCTGGTTTACTCAACCAGATTCAACAATGATACCATACCACCTCAAAACATAAATAGGGGAGTTATATGAGTGATATTACCGGATAGTAAACTATAGAAAAAAATTAAAAAAATAGTATAGTCCAGGAAGAGATATGTCATTTATTTATTTATTTATTTATTTTCTTTCTATCTATCTATCTATCTATCTATCTATCTATCTATCTATCTATCTATCTATCTATCTATCTATCTATCTATCTATCTATCTAGTGTGAGAGTGTTAGCTAGTTTATATTGAGTACGACAAATAGTTGCTTTTTCTCCATCTCATTTTTTATGATGATTTGCAGTAGAATCTCAGAATGCATTTAAGTTATGTCGTATCCTTCCTCCGACAGCCTTTGACAAACCTGTGAAGTATACGATTGGGAGAATAACTAGCTTCTGATCACTAAACTGTATTATGGGTATGTGGAGATTTGTACTAAGATCATCTGCATTTTGTCCCAGTGCTAGCTACTACATCATAGCAGATGGCCCTTTCCTTGGCCCCATAAAGAAACTTGCAGTGTGGACCATGCTGGCTTTGAATTCTGAAAGTTGTCTCAAAACATGGAGGACATTCCTATATCTGATTTTAAGTATTTACCTTATTCTGCGTAACTCTGATAGCCGATCTTTGCATATTAAGGTGAGCTCTTGTGGTGGTGGATTGCCAGACACACAGGGCCTCATTTTAGGCCTGATGGGCTGGCCTAATAGCCTGTGTTAGGGCTAAAACCAGAGGTCCTCATTTCTCTTATAAGATAAACAGATTTAATAAGAATGAAATCTTACAATACAAGGAAGGTCTGAAATATCCATAGAGTGGGCAAGGATTTCTTCATGATCGGCCTTGACATAATCATTGAGGAAAATGGCATAACATCTGAATCTGAATGACATCAGAAAGTAGTCAGATTGTTGCATGGACTGTTAATCTTACTGTATTTACCCAAAAGCATGAATATTTTTTTTCTCTCTGAATAACTTTGAATTGCTAATACTGTGGTACAGTTAAAAGGAGCCAGATTATTACCCCATTGCATTTTAATGTTCAGGGGAAATAGTTAATTGTTCATCGAAGAATATAAAAATATGTCTACATGTGATTTCCTGAATGTGGAATCTGTGAACACTATTTGTTCATGAAGACATTTACAATATCGAGCTGTTGTGAAAGGTTTCAATTGGGGACAGGATGGTAGGAGAAAATGTTAGGAAAAATTAATATAACCCAGTTGTATGAATGAAAGATCTTATTGGGAGGGAGTTCCTTTTTTGATGTTGTAACTGAAGCTTGATCCATGCTAAACCTTTGCTAAGGAATGTTACTATAATAGA